GCTTTTAGGTTTCACTTATTTTTTCCCCTGTAGAAAAATATAGAACAGTTTTTCTGTTGCAAAGAATGTGGAAAGATCACAACAATGGATACCTGTTTGAAATCTCAATTTTGTGAATCGTATTTAACATCGTATGGCACCCTTAAAAGGATCTCAAGTCACCTCAGGGTGATAAATACTGATTTAGAGGATACCAAGGTGATCAATCGGTAACAGTCAAGAGCAAGTCATGCTTGATCAACCGGATCTGTTTCTCACAGGGTGATAGGCTGGGGTGTGTGGGGAGGAGGGAACAGTGGGCAATAATATACCTTGGCTTTGTCAAAGTTTTTGACACTGTCTCCTATGACATTCTTATTGGTAAACTAAGAAAATATAATATAGATGTATCCACCTTAAAGTACTTCCATAACTGCTTGGATCAAGATGTTCCAAGAGTAATAATCATCAATGGCTTCATCTTTAATTGGAAAGAAGAATGGAGTGGGAATTCCTGGGAGTCTGATTTTTTTTTTTTTTTTTTTTTTTTTTAAGTATCTTCATCAATGATTTGGAGGATTGGATTGAGTATACGTCTTGCAAATTTGCAGATGACTCCAAGTTGTGTGGAGTTGCAGACACTTTAGAGAATAGGATTAGGATTCAAATGAGTTTGGTAAACTAGAAAATTGGTTGGAAATGAATCACCTTAAATTCCATAATGACAAATGCAAAGTCCTGCATTTAGGAGGGAATAATCACATACACAAATACAGACTGGGTAATGACTGGTAGAAAAGGACCTGGGCCATAAAATGGATAGGAGTTAACAGTGTGCACCTGTTGTAAAAAAGGCCAGTAACACCCTGGGCTGTATTAACTAGGCATGCAACAGTACTGTTAAAGTGTTTCCTCTGATTTAGCACAGAGGGGGGCTCAGTTGGGGCACAGTACTCTTTAGAAAGAGTCCAGCAGAGAGTAACAGAAATTATTAGAGGTCTAGGAAATATGATTTATGAGAAAACGTGGGAAGAACTGGAACCACTTAATCTGGAGAATAGAAAACAGATGATGTTGGATTTGATTTGCCAGAGGATTTGATAACAGTCTTCAAATATCTGAATCATAATTATTAAAGAGGATGGTGGTAACCGATTCTCCGTGGCTGCAGGGGACAGGACAAGAAAAAAAACTGCCTTAAATTGCACCAAGGGAAATATAGGGTGAACTTTCTTATTATATGGGTGGTTATACACTGGAATAGATTACCTAGACTCCCTATTCTTGGAAACTTTAAGAGTAGGTTAGACTTGACTGGAATGGTTTAGGTGGGGATAACTTTCCTTTGAGCAGAAGGTTTGACTGAATGACTTTGAGGCCCCTTACAGCCTTATTTTACTATGATTCTGTGTTCTACATCAACCAGGACATAGGACTTTAAGAAGCAAAGGAACTTTTATCCTCAATCTTGACTGTTACAACACACTCCAGTGAATCAACTTTTGCATAAAAAATCAGTTTTTGTGAGGGGAAAGTTCAGGTGTTGGCAATTATTACAGGCACAGAAAAACTAGGGAAAAATAAGAGTAAACATTGTATATATTAATGAGAGAAGTGCACGAGTTTATTAAGACTAAAAAGCATCTTAAGTATTTTTTCTGTCTCTCTTTAAATCCTGCTTAAACAACTGACACAGGTCAGAACAAGCTGTGTCTGGTACATTATAAGCAGGATCTTTAAAGGCAGAAAGGGCACTACAAAAAACCAAGAGCCAGAAACAGCAAGGTAGATTACTCTCTAAATATATTAGAATGCATTAGGAAGCATGTATTGCTTTCTGTCTTTGGTGTGTTTAAATTCTCAATCTTGATCTTGCATTAACATAATTAAATGCAAAACCCCCTTCCTCTTGTTTAACAGAGAAGCAAAAATAGTTGAAGCAGTGTTTACCCACAAACAGAATATGCAGAAAAGCAGAACAGCACACAAACTTGTACTTGGAACCAGATGAGTCTGTACAAGAATAAAACCTCAACAAAGTGCAGTTTTGAAAATCTGTGGTGGCTGACTACTTCCATGTGTCTTATGAATTGTGCAAAATGTTGCATGGAGTACCGCATCGGCTATCATAGGTTATGTATGTGCAATGCAGTTCCACTTCCCTTAACCTTGGTCATTTTGTGCAGGGCACGTACCAATACCTAAAAACAAAGCCTTCGCCAAGGAGTTAAAACTAAACCAAAACCAAAAAAAAAGACTAGTGTTTGAGTGACCCATTGGTCCAACTTGAGATGCCTTAAAGGGATTCACTTTCTGAAGGTGGGTGGTCAGCACTTCCTGCAAGTGAGACTTCTTCAAGAAATCTTCAGTAAAGCAGCCAGAACTCTCTTGTCATTTTGGAACAGTTTCACTAAAGAAAAGCATCTCACCAAAAAGAAGGCAACAATACTGATCAGAGGGGAAACAATTCTCCCTCTTGCTGGCCAGAAAAAAACCCAGCAAATGACAAGCCAATGAAACTTACTGGCACAAGTGCACAGAACATGTTTCAAGCCAACAGAACAGCACCTACTTACTTACATCAGTAGAAAATTTCACCCATTACGTAGATGAATTGTTCAAAGTGGGTAGCATCATGTGGGAATCAAGACTATCTAAAAGCACCTGAAAGAGGGTGAAAATGTAAAGCTTTTCCCAACCCTTAAATACAGTGTGCTTTGCACTTCTATATTGCCTTACTTTTCAGGAACTCCAAAATGCTTTGCAAATACTAATGAATTTAGCCTCACAAACTCCAGTGAGGTAGGTAAGTATTGACCCCATTTTACAGATGGGGAAACTGAGGCAGAGTTCTCAAATGACTTGCCTAAGGTCATGCCTCTTGTCAGTAGCAATGCTGGGAATAGGTTCCCAGGAGTCCTGACTCAGGCAGTCCTCTGTTTCTTTGATTACAGTTCATCTTGGCACAACATAAGCAATATGTGCAGCCTTTCCCCTCCCCCTCTTCTACTGCTTCTGTAGTCCTGATGACCCAAAGGAAGCGATCTTTATGTATATATATTTTTTCTCCTCACAAGAGTTCCTTCTTTCTTTGGTAATAGCACTTTGATGCAACTAATGCTGACTTTCAATCTTGGCAAAAGTGCACGTGTTCTGAAGCGTACTAAGGAAACATGGCTTCTCCGTGCGATAGAGATGGTAGGGGTCTGTATGGGAAAAGGAGACTTATTTCTTGCAGAAGACCTGCTGCTTGGCATTCTTCACACGCTGTTCCTCTTTCAGGTTCTTCTGCCGCACATGTTTGCTGGATATCCCCTCCACATAGTCTGAGGGGAACCAGCCTCTCTCTCCATCTGAAAGTCTTATTCCTTCCATCCAACCTGAAAGGGTGGAGAGCAGACAAAGGGGTGTTATTTGGTCAGTTTGCTCAGATTTTTTCTTCCCCTACCAGTAGACTAAGACAAGAAACCCTCTATGTTAAATGGCCTATGACTAGGACCCAAGTAAAGGGTCCCAAGTAAAGGACCCAAGTAAAGAAAAAAGACTCCTCTTTCAATCCCATAGTCAGGGTGCAGAGAGTTTCTGACAGGAAAGACTCCTTCCTCATCTTTTGCACAGATTAAGAGCTATCGCACTAAAACTCTGCTTGCTGAGCACCTTCATCAAGATGGTTGAAGCTCGTTCCACTCACCGTCGTTGCTGTTCTGCATAAGCATGATGATATCGGCTTTCTCTAGAGACAGCTCATCATTCTCCCTGGCTTTGTATGCCCTTAGGCATTGAACCTGGGGTGCATCTAAGAGACAAGGGGAGAGACTGTAATGATACTAGAAGGGTGAGGATGACCATGAGGGTCAGGGGCAGAATCAGTAATAGGGTGATGGAACTGAGAGTGGGGACCACACATCCCCTGAGGGATAGGGGAAGACATCATTGGGGTCGGACACAGCACCTGTAGGAGGGGTGGTGGAAGAGTGGTTCTGTCAGGCAACATGCCACGGTGAGAACCTGAGGTTGCGAGGCAGCAGTGCCTAAGCGGCAGTACCTGGGGAGGAGGTAAAGCCAAAGCAGGTCACAAGCTTTACATGTGTGAAATAAATAAGTGGAGGGTTGATGGGCCTCTTCAGATTCACTCCTGTGTTTGGTCTTTTTTTTTTTTCCCCACCCTTTTGTATAGTCTACCTTACAGCACTTGCCCCCAAGCTGTCTCCCACCACCCCAAACGACTACCACCCCTGCAGTCTCACCTGGGCTTTCTAAGAGATCAGGTTCTCCTCGTGGTGGAGCCAGGACAGAGATCCACCGCAGCTTCTCACTGCTGGAAGATCCAAAATGGAGGTGTTAAGCAAGCAGAGGGGAACTGCCAGCAACATTTAGCAAGATTGGGTGGAAAATGTTCTGAGAGAAGTGAAGCACCTGCCACTGCCTCTTGAGGGAAGTGATAGGAGAGAATAAGGCAAAATGAAAGATGGGGAAGGAGAAGGAGGTTGAAAGTGGTTTGGGAGTCCAAAGGAGTCATTTTCTATGTTCTGTGGTGGGGCTGATGTCTCAGATGAAGTCTTAAGAGCTTGAGATGTGTAAATGGCTGGCTTGGCAGTTGTGGGATGGAGTTTCAAGATGGGAAGGAGAGGGATACTTCTGTTGAGGGAATTAAGGGTTTAGGACAACAGGGCACTGGGATGGGTTTGAGGTGTATGGCGAGTGGATATCTGGGAATTAGGGTGTGATGCTTGCAATTCTAAGTTTGTGTCTCCATAGAGTGCCGTCCCTAGCAGATGCTGTTGGGCTTGCCTGGCCATGCAGCTGAGGGATACTGTGCCTTAGCAGCTGCAGCTGTTACTGCAGGTGGTGTTGGGTCTCGGCCAGGGCAGGCTCTGGCTCTTACTGTGTCTCCGTGCGGAAGAGGAATTCCACTCTCTTCCCCTGGTTGTTCTGAAGCAGGAAGAGACGGAAGACATTCTTGTTTGCTCCATGCAGCTTCACCTCGCACTTCTCCCCGCGCACATCTGAGAATGCAGCATGGTCAAACACCACAAAGCGCCCGCCCCTGCATGGAGAGAGGAAAACGGTCAGCTTTAGCTTTGTGCAATCTATAAAGGATCTAAAAATTGGGGTGGTTTAGTATTATAAATGAAAAAACAAACAAATAAAAAAACCCCAAAGTCCTCCTGTCCTTCCTTCATGTAGAATATACCAAGCCTCATCTTCCACTATCTTTTAGAAAGTCTCT